ATGGCACCGCAGCACCGTAGCACAGTCCTCCCATTGTCCCACCGATTTGCTCGAGCGGGCCCAGTAACGTCCCATTGTGAGTCTTGTTGTTACTGCGTTTGGCATATCGAATATGTCACGGGGAGCTTGCCAGGCTCTGCCGTGCGGGCGAGATACTCTCGGTAGCTTGCCGGGCTCTCTGAGAGGGGCGGAGGAATCGAACCCGAGTCTGCCCAGTCAGCCGCGTACAAGGCAAAGGCCCTATCCGCTGGGCTATCGCTCCAGCCGCATAAACCAAAATTTGCATTGGAGGGACAGGAAAGCTGATAGGCAGAACTATTTGCTGCTTCTGCTCAGAAATCCTAAGCTTAAAACACACAACACAGGAAATTCTCTTTCCAGGGGCCTGAGGGACAGCTCAAAGGGCAAAGAACAGGCAAAGCATGATTTGCCTGCAGGAGTCCGAGGTTCAGTCCCCGACACTGTGTGGTCCTCCTGAGCCCTGCTGGGAGCAATAGACCCACAAATAGCCCTGAACACCATGGGATGTGTCCCCACCCCAATCTCTTTTCACAGTGGTGATATTTTAATATATATGTAAAACTTCATTATCTGGATAAACATTATGCTCAAGGGTCACTCCTGGCTGTGCACTCAGGAATTAGCCCTGGTGCTGATGGGGAGGTGAGGGTCTATATAGGATGCCAGGGATCAAAGACCCCAAACCCAAGTAGGCTACCTTGGAGGCAATGCCTTACCCGCTGGACTCTCTGGTCCCACATAGCATAAGGTTAATACTATGATCCCACATAGTATAAAGTTGCCTGCTGACTGGTCACAGCTATGTAACTACGCTTTTCTCTTAATGTACTTGTTAACAAAAGCAATGGCTCTAGAGCCAGGGAACCAGGGTAGGAGAGGAGAGACTGACCCACAAACAGCTAGACTCTTCCCTGACATGGGGCAGAAGAGGCCAGCTTGCAACCCGGATATTGAAGAGGGAGCGGGGATGGAGAGTCCCCGTGTCCATCCACGGGTCCCAGGTTCTTCAGTATTGAGTAATAAAGATGCTCAGACTCAAGAGTTAGAAAACAAAGTTTACTGGAAAGTAAATCAAAGAGAAAGAGACTCCCCGCAGGAGAGGAATGTAGGAATGTAGTATAAGACTTAGTATGGCTTAAAAAAAAAAAAAAGGAAAACTGGGTCTTTTGTGTTACTTATCAGAGTATAGAGGATTCTCACTCACTTCTCAGAGATGTTGTTACCCTAGGGTCCATCTGTGTTGTTAAGATAAAACTAACACCCTGCATGACGTGGTTAGGACCTTTTATTTAGTTGGCCATGTCCCTGGGTATTATCCATCATCTCTTGGTCTCCTGTGAGCCTAAGAGATGGTGCAGAATTTATGGTCTTTGGAACATGTAAAGTTCCATCTTAAACATAGTCCAGGAATTTAGAGGGAAACTTCCTCAAGCCTAACAAGCTCCCTGCATCCACCCACCGGACTGCTCCAGTATCTTTTTCCTTACACCCCTCCAGGGCCTTTGCAGCACAAACCGTGAACCACACACCAATGACTACCAGCTGCCACTCATGGCATTCTGCCTTCCCTTGAGGATTTTTAGCTAGCCTCTTTCCACCCAGGCCATGGTTGTCATTTTGCCTCCCACAACCATGCTGAGCCACAACCACGCACCACTCTGTCACCGAGGTTAACAGCTCACTGCTCATTGACTTCACTCCCAATCTTGGCCATACACTTTTTGTGTTCCACTTCAGACCTCATCATCGCCAGTAACTAGTGTTTCCCCCCCATGCCCCCGCCCCCACCAAAAAAGAACTCACTTTCAAGACACTCCATATTTAAGTTAAATTCCTCCACTAGCCCCATCCTGATGTTCTTTGAACTCATCTCCAATCCATTGAGATCTGCGGTACTTTTCTGTTTAAGTGTCCGTCTACACCCGGCAGTGCTTGAGGCAACTTCTGACTCAGCTGAGGGTCTCTGCAGTGCTGGGGATCAAACCTGGGGATTCTACACGCAATGTGTGTGCTCCAGCCCTTTAAGCCACCTCTCCACAGCCGACCAGCATTTTTTAAGTGGCCATCACCTCCAATGTCCCTATTTCCCTCCCTGTCCATCACTATAATCATTTTGTGTAAAAACCTGAATTCCTTTCTCCTCTATCTCACAGCTCTGACAATAGCTCTTTGAGTCCAGATCTGATCTGTCCTGCACTGAGCAAGCACAGCCGGAGAATAAAGCAGCACCATTTTCACTGATCTGTTCGATGGATGCCCACATATCTCTGGGGGGCTTTCAGCACTGCCCAGAGAGCCTCCTGCACATCCCTAATTAGCCTTCCCAATCTTCAACTTCTCACCACTAGCTGATTTTTACCGTTCTGAGAATTACAAAACCCTTCTTAATCTCTGACCATCAAATATCCGATAACCCAGTATTATCAGCATTAAAGACCATTCATATTAAAATGGCTCCACCCTGGAAACCCTGGAGAAACCTACTCCCACATTTGTTTTCCTGCATGAGACATTTATGGCCATATGTAAACACTGCGACAGATGGGAAGTCCTAACACTGCACATCTTAAAACATGTAAGCCAATGTTAGTTAAAATTTTGTATTATTAAAAAAAAAAATCAACAAAAGCTGAGCTCCTCTTTGCTTTCTAGGCACCAGGGAAACGTTTCTGGGAGCCCCACTGCAATGTCCCTTGCTCAGCATGGACTTCTCTCTTGAAGCCAATTCCAGTCTCAAGCCAGTTACTCAACTCAGCAGCAGGACAGATCAAATCTGTCCCTTAAAAAAATTTTTTATTTTTTGCTTTTTGGGTCACACCCGGCGATGCTCAGGGGTTACTCCTGGCTTTGCACTCAGGAATCTCTCCTGGCAGTGCTCGGGGGATCATATGGGATGCTGGGAATCGAACCCAGCTCGACCAAGTACAAGGCAAACGCCCTACCCACTGTGCTATTGCTCCAGCCTCATTTTTTTTTTAAATTAAATCACTGTAAAATAGTTACAAAGCTTTTTGATTTTCAGTCATACAATGATCAAACACCCAAGATCTGTCCCTTCTTAAACCTTGCTTTATCTGATTTTTAGGCCTCCTCTGGTTTTCCTCCCCCTTTCCACTCTCCACAGCTTTCAACTGCCTAAAGGAATCCATCCTAGATGGTGACATTAAGTAGGACTCATGTGCCCGTTAACTCTCAAATGAATATAAGCTTTGTGCCTGCCTCTGAGGTTCAGTATCGCACATCCAGCTTCCATCAGCTCTACTTGAAGGTGTAACGGCAATCCCAAGCAGAATAAATTCCTTCCTTGAATTCTTTTTCCCAAGTCTGTCCCCTCCTAGTAAACAGCACATTTGCACAGGCCACAAAGCCTTTCTACTTACCCACACTGTCTGCTCTACCTTGAAGAAATCCAACGATGACTTCTGGTCACTGGTGGAGATAGTCTAGGTCGCTGTAGATGTGAGGCTTTCTCTTTACTATTCTATACTCTGACCCAATCCAACTACTTCTAAATCCTCAGACTTGCTATTCTTCTGTAGTCATTCTTCATACTTCAGTGAGCCTTTCAAAACTCATTACTGCGTCATATTAGTCTCTGCCTGGTGGCCTTCTAATGGCTTTTCATTATTCTCAAGCTAGACAGGACCCTAGGACCCACTAAGCCGTATTTGGATCTGGCATCTGTTCACCTTTCGCCACGCTCTTTGCCTTCTCAACCACAACGGCCTCCTCCCTGGCCTCAATTATGCCAACCGCACTTGCTCTACTGGCCTGTTGCTCTTTTCGGAATGCCCTTCACACACTAATTCCTAACATCATTGTGGTTCCCAGTGCAATTACCCATACCCAACACACACTCCCAGAGTCCACGTACTTGAAAACCACCCTCCCCTCCACTGATCCCCATTTTTCCCTTCACTGTACTGCAGTCCAACATTAGTTAACACATTATTCAGACTTGTTTATATTTACCTACTTGCTACTTGTAACCATAAAAATATTCATGGTGTTTTGTTTTGGAGTCACATCCTATAGTACTCAGGCATCATTTCTAACAGTGATTGAATGACAATACGTGTTACTGCAAACATCAGTCCGTGATGAAAAAGAAAAGGGTCTTAACACCTGTACTATCTCTCCAATTTATTCACGGTGTTTTTTGAGTTACTTGAGTCAATTAAACCCAACATTTCCAGTTGAGTTCATTACCACCTTTTGGTATTAGCTCTCGCTCTACAAACAAGTCTTCTTTTTATGTTCTATCTAACCATAAAGTACTAGTTTTCCTAAGCACAAAAAAAGTGAAACCTGGGATGTGGAGGTGCCATATAGAGAAAGTACGTGTCACATAAGCTTCATTCTAGCGAGGCTAGTAATATCCACGTTCAACACTAACACAGGCTGCTATTACTACTTTTGTCCTAGGGGCCAGAGCAAATAGTACAGCAAGTATGGAGGGCATCTCTGCCCCGCGAGCGGGCTGCCAGGGTTTGATCCCCGGCATGCCATATGGCTCCCTGGATGAAATGGAGTATTCCTGAGTGCAGATCCAGGACTGAGTCCTGGGGATCGCTGGGTGTGGCACCCCAAAATAAATAAACAAAAAGGTTAGATGGTGTCCTTGTTTTCAGAAACAGAAACACATTGGTAATGTGATTTATTTGTACATCAACACAAAAATAAATTACTTTTTCCTGTTATAGATGATTTAACATTAAAGCTCTACTAATAAGGTTTCCTAAAATCCTATTTAAGAGAAAAATGAGGTAAGTTGTATGAAGGATGCTAACATTCCATAACATTCTGCCAGTCTTTATGAAATAAGCTTATGCTGTTTTCTAAGACAGATTAGCAACTACGCATTCACATACCATATACTGCGGCTTAACTTCTGTTATAAATTCATGTTTTCCCTGAACCAACATAACCAAAATCTAAAATGTAGCTACTGATGTACCCAAATATACAATTTGCAAGAATCCAGACAGTAGTTTTTATTTTTAACATTTTGAAATTCTCATTCATCTCCATCCACAAAATAAAACACAACAAGGAGGACAGATTCTGGATCATTGTGCCTTATAAAATAGCTCACATGCTTTTGGGGGCAGAACCCAAAGTATGACCTTCAGCAGCTTACATTCTGTTTATGACAAAGTCAGTGTCTCAACACTACCTAAAAACAAGGAAATGTTCTAAGAGCAATAAATATTAAACTGAAATAAAAAGCATTCAACAACTTTCAAACAGATACTCATCAAAATGAGGTAAGTCTAATGTGTCATTTGCTAAAGACTCGAATGCTGAAGTGGAAAAAAACTCATCAAAAATATCAGTCTTCAGGGTACTCTCCAAGCTCAACGATCTCACACAGGCATCATTTGCTGGTGAGTCTAGCTGAACTCGACACTGATTCTTCTTGCTGGGGCTGCAGTAATTATGGTCCTGTCTTAGAGGAGTGTCTGGGGGAATATTGCTTAACTCACTAGTTACTGGTGCTGGGATGTGATTATCTCCCATTTCTAAATACCTAAAGTCAGCCTCCCCATTTTCTGAGAGCTCTGTTGAAACAACAGCTGCAGGAGAAAGCAATTCTGCTAAAATTTCTTCATGAGTCTGACCACTGCAGGGTGAAACACTGGAGTCGTCAGGGCATGCGGATTTATTATCGGCCATATCAATCTGATACTGCAGTTCTTTTAATAAGTCTTCTATTGATTCACATTCATTTGGAGAGCCTTGAGTCACAGGTTCTGAATTTCCACTCGGAAGTGTTCCATTTTTGGGGGAAGACGAAAGTGCAGCTAACTTCTTCTTTTTTGCTTTAAGCTTTTTAAGAAGTTTTAGACGAAGTTTGTGAATCTGGGCCTCAACTGAGTCTCTGTGGTTTGCTGCAGAAGCACCATTATCACAAGAAACACCATTTTTAGTTTCAGGAGAACTGTGGTTGAGCTGAGTTCCAGAGGAAGTGTTTCCAGCTTTCTTGCAAACTTCCGCACTGATGCTAACATCAGCAGGAGGGTGACAAATCATGCCACTCGATGACTTGCTTGTGCTCCTGTGAGTTTTCTTGGCAGCCCGGCTGGCCTTCTGATTTGTGCCTTTAGTTTTAAAGCCACCAAAATTACATGCCCCCTTAACGGAAGGCTGCAAGTCAGTGACGGCATTCCTACTATGTGCCGTGACACAAGGAGGCATGAAAGAAACACCTCTGCTGAGTAAGCCTTTGACCCAGCTGCCCACAAAGGGCTTCTTCTGATTTTCTTTCGGAGAGGGAGTCGGGAGCGATTTGACTGTGACCGTCCGAGAGGCTACTTTCGGAGAGGGAGTCGGGAGCGATTTGACTGTGACCGTCTGAGAGGCTACCACTGTCTCTTTCTTCAGGTTCACTTCTGGAGATGAGTGCGGTACTAGTTCCACACTCTGGGTTTTTGGTGGAAGGAACTGTTCTAATGAAGCGTTCGTCTCCAGACCAACAGATCCCTCCATTTCCACTGATTTCACTCCCTGCGTGGGGCCAGCAGCAGGGTCAGTCCCCACCGTGCCAGCACCAACAAAGTGCTTGGAACTGAGCGGTCCTGACTGTGTGCTGCTATTTACAACTGCAGGCGGAGAGCTGAGAGCCGCACAATTACCCGGGGAGAGTGGTGCCCTGCCTGCCGCCGACACCAAAGGCCTTACCGACTCACACGACGGCCGAGTATCTAGCTTGACAGGCCCCGTGGCTTCTGCTACAGGTCTATTATCCAGTAGGAAACCTTCAGAGTTAGCCTTGATTTCTTCAAGTGTCAAAAGGAAAATGTTTCCATTAACCGAAGTATCACTAGGCGCTACAGCTGCATCCTGTGAGTGAGTTTTTGGGGCCACAGACACATCCACAGTGTGAACGCTGGAGGATATCTTAGCTGAGGCAGTCTGACCCACAGAATTCACTGGTGCAGATACTTGTCTCTCACCACCCAAAGCATGCTGATCAATGATCTTTTTACGCGGAAGACAGGCAGCAGCCTTATCTGTCATTTGGGAGATTTTTCTTTCCCAAATAACAATATGGATCTCTGAAGCAGGCACTTCAAATTTCTCACGCCTCTTAGAACAAGGCCCCTTTAGGTCATCGCATTCCAGCCAACTTCCTGGAGGAGGGGGAGAGAAGAATTTAATGAAAACTGACCACCTTTCGGTCCTTAACATTATCTTTTCTTATTCTGCCAGATGTCAAAGTCCTTATTCTGAAACACAAATGATCTCAAAAACAAAAACAAAAACCCACAAAGCATTCAAAAACTGAGGTCAATTTCTATTTTTCCAAAAACAACTATAAAAATCACAACTATTATATAGTACAGCGGGTCGGGTGCTTGCCTTGCACACAGCCAACCTGGGTTTTATCCCCAGCATCCCATATGGTCCCCTGAATCCATCAAGAGTGATCCCTGAGAGAAGAGCCAGGAGTAACCCAGAAGCACCACTGGATACCCGTCCCCACACCCCCCAAATCAGGACAAAAATAAATTTAACTTTTGGAATTAGACTACAATATTGCCTAATGTATCCAACACCATCTGAACACGTAGGAAGTTGTTGGGTATGTATGAATTTCCAAGATTAATGAAGCTCCCTACCTCAAATACCAATTAATTTTGATGCTTATTTCTGAGGCTGTTTTCTCATTTATCAAGTGAGAATGAGATGAGGGATGAGAAGCAAAGTGATTATCCTGCCCCTTGCACTCAGAAACACTCAGAACAAAACTATTTATTATGTGGTTTCTGTGGAGACACCTTTGCACACGACTTGAGCCCACAAGTTCTTATTCGACACCCACGAACACTTTGAGAATCTTTCCTTTGCCTCTGACAGAGATTCTCTATCATGCATGAACATCAGAATCCACTGACTGATATTTAGGCCAAATCAATTACCAGAGGCTGACTCACTGGTTTAAGGTAAGCCTCATTTTGATAACAATCTATGATTTTTTAAAATAATGCTGTCAGAGTTGGTGGAACCAGGCGCTGGCTGAAGAGAACATTCCATTCACTTGAGCGCAAAAGAAGACAGAAACAAGATTGTTTTCCAGGTTCACTTATGTTTTTGAGACCCATTTTCCCTCAAATTCTGAAGCAAAATAAAACTTAAAAAGTACCATCTTAAAAGTATAATCCTATCTATGGATTTGAGTGTGCAAAGTATTTTTCTTACACACCGAGTAGCCATCCAAACCATCTTAGGAGAAAAATATTAATTATGAGAAGTGATTAAACAGAAAAAAAGGGGAGGGGGAATCAAACAATTCGTGTCAACTGTCTGAGATAACATGACAAAAAGATTGGTTATCCTGTCTTTGACAAAGTATACATTCTGAGAAAAATAAACTCAGTAACAAATAGGTTGGGGGTGGGGGGGTACATAGTCAAATTAAAGAGTATGTATAGATGCTTTGCCCTGACTCGAGCTCTTAGCAAACTAGGAACTTCAGATACTCAAATATTCTCTACCTCACAACGAGAGAAACTCCAGTCTGCTATGTCTAATGGTTATTAAAAGAAGTATTTTTTTTTTTACTATTACAAACTAAGAAAACCTTTATTTTTGCCATTCCTCCCCCTCCATTAAGAATACCAACATGGGGGCTGTACACTGACAGTACACTGGTGGGTGAGGCAGGGGGTGTCTAGCTTTGCCTTGCATGTGGGTCTCCAGCACCCCGTATGGTCACCAAGCCTCCTAGGAGTGACCCCTAGGAGCACAGCCAGAAGCCCTGTCCATTGTGGGTGTGGCCCCCAAACAAAAACTGGGTCTTGGTTGCCACATGCAAGCCACGGGGCTTGACTCCTGAACTCTTTCGGGCCGCCTGTTTCTTTCCTTTTTAAAAGTAGCCACCTGGAGCTGGAATGAGAATACAACAGGAGGGTGCTCGCCTTGCATGCTGCAGACCATGTTCAATCCCCCACATCCCATGTGGTCTCTCAGGCCTGCAAGGAAGATCCCTGAACACAGAGGCAGGAGTAAACCCTGAAACTGCTGGGTGTGAACCCAAACAAAACAAAACAAAACAAAACAAAACAAAACAAAACTATATATAAAGCAGTCATCTAAAAATTTAAAATTGGGACCACTCATTATTCTATACTGAACATGTTGATCATATAGAATGTTAATCATGTAAGAACAAAAAAATAAAAGCATAGATGCCGAGTGGAGGAAAAAAGTAAAACAACAGAAGTATCTGACCTCATTATTTGCTTAAATAAAAAATATATAAATATATATAAGGCTAAGCCTAAGTTTGTCTGGAATACAACATAAAAAACTAGTGTCTAGTTGCTCTTATTGTAAAAGAAAAAACACTTACCATCAGCACCTAAAATCCATGTTATGAAGTGATTATTTGCTTGGTACTGAATCACGGAAGTGATCTGATAAAGACAGCCTTCAAAATGAAACGAGTAGCACTGCAAGTCATTCTGCGGCAAGCCCTCCACGAAGTGCAGCATGAATACGGAAGAGAGACTGGGGGCGGAGAAGGGCAAGAGAAGTCAAATACATTTCATGCCACATGCCTGGTTTTACAAAAGAAGGTCTGAAGCCAGAAGTGCCACCTGACACTCAAAGCTCATGCGCCGATCCTCCTGGAGGACCTCCCAATGTGTCCCTTTGTTTGAATCTGGGAACAACTCAAGGAGGATGCAAGAGCAAGCCCCTCGAGCGACAGAACCACCGACAGCTGGAAATCCTCATGCAATGAGGCCCTCACACAGAACATTACACAAAAATTGCTCTGTACACTGCTACGCTGCTTAGCCCCAAAGAAGATCTCTTGGTCAATTACTTAGCAGAATCAAAGCAAGAAATCCAGAGCTGAGATTTTCCTGGACACCCATTACTTAAATGGACTGCCTTTCTCAGATGAGGGGGAAGAATGTGAAAGAAAACAAAAGTTAAAATATTCAAATATATTTTAAAACAAGCACTAATTCGGTCTAGTAGGTGTTCTCAGGATACAGTGAGGGCCATCAAATTAAAATTCTGACTTGATAGAGAAAGTAGGATTTGTCATAAGTTGTGCAGAAAACAGAATATACTGGTTGATTTCCTAGAAGCTTCAAGACCAATAATTCTCAAAACATATTTGACGGTTACAGTAACACACCAAGCCAGAAATTCAGTACTAAGATGGGCCTCAAATAGCTAATTGAAACAAAACTCTCGGGAGTTAAGAAAAATGTTGACTCTTTCTTTCTCAATATTTAAACAGCTGTCAAACCTTCCTAATCAAAATTCACTCAGCTGAAATGAACCTGAATCAATGTCCAAAATGCAGTCTTCAGACTGACAGGAGGATAATTTACAAATTATCCTCTTGTCAGTCATTCTGTTAGAGAAGAATCAAGACTTCAAACCTTAAGTATCTAGGGGAAAAAAGGCCGACAAAACTGCCCATAATGCTTCCTAATGTTCTTTTTTTTTTAGGTTTTGAGGTAATACCTGTTGGTGCTAGCTTCAATTCCAGCCCTGCAGGTGACAACAGACCTTTAGCCTTAATTTGGCAAGAGATGACTCTCAGAGACAAGGACAAAGCGACAACCCGCCTCAATCATACAAACTGAAGAAGTAGAATTAACAGCACCTCCCACCATGGGACCTCAAGGATTCACCAGTGAATTCAACCTACATTTGCACTCGCTGCTAAACACACTGGTGGCAGCAGTGCCACTTGTTTTAACTGAATCACAGTCAAGTGTGAGCCACTAGTGGTACATGCTAGCATCAACAGGTGACAAGGCAGCCAAGCACCCATCCTTGGAAGATGAAGGCAAACAGGTTGGAAGAGGGCAAACAGGTAAGAGAAAAAGCAAGCATAAGGGAACACCAAGTGACAGTCACACAAAGGACAGAGTCACAAGCACATGCCTGGCATAAGGCCAGGGGTCTGAGCCCCCAGAACAGCTCTGGAGGCACAGGCCTTTGGAATTCCTAGTGCCACACGCCAAATGTGTGATCTCCACCACCAAGCAAATGCATGTGGAAGCACCACAAAGCAGGATCACAGCTCTTCACGAAGGGGAGGAGACAACAAGAGAGAACAATCAGTATCTTGAACTAGTTCTCCATTTTCATCACCTAATATAAAAATTCTTATATTTAGGGATAGAGCAATACTTCCGTGAGTAGGGGGCTGGCTTTGCACATGGCTGACTTGGGTTTGACACCCCCAATACTACAGATGGGTTTCCAAGAGTGCAAGCCAGGACTAAGTCATCTCTTGCCTGAGACAGCCAAGTGTGACCCTATCCCCACAAAAAAGCATATGAAAAAATAATGTGAACTTCTGAACTTATATAATATATGCTTAGACGGCGGTAGGCTTGCCTAGCAAGCTGCCCGCCTGTCCAAGCCGGGTTTGATTCCTCTGCCCCTCTTAGAGAGCCCTGCATGCTACTGAGAGTATTTCGCCCGCATGGCAAAGCCTGGCAAGCTACCCATGATGTATTCGATATGCCAGACACAGTAACAACAAGTCTCACAATGGAGACATTACTGGGCCCGCTTGAGCAAATCAATGAACAACGGGAGGACAGTGCAGTGCTACAGTGCTTAGACAAATAGATCTGCAAATGTAATTTTAAAACCTCATTATATTCCAGATCTATTACTAAACTATTGCAAACAGACAAAAACTTAATGGAGTAAAATCTCAAGTAATTAGATTAGTTCATATTAATGTCAGAAAACACACAACTGTTTAATAATGGTTTATGAACTGTTCTTTTGAAGAAATTCAAAGATCTTATAATAAAGAACTTTTATACAATAGTGAAGATTTAAACTAAGACACTATCTACCTATATCAGATTCCAGCCAAACTTTTATATGGAAATGTTTATATGATTAAAAAAAAAACACAAGGAGCTGGAAAGATAAGAGTGAGCCATTTGCCTTGCACACAGCCAACCTGGGCTCACCCCATGGTACCCCCTAACAGTCCCCCAAACACTACCAGGAGTAAGCTCTGAGCACTGCTGGGTGTGGGAGAAACAGCTCACTGAATCGAGTGCTTGCTTCACACGTGTTCAATCCTCAACACCACCCAGTGACCTCCAAGCACAGAGCCAGGAACAGTCTGACAAAACTGCTGGGTGTATATAGCCCCAAACACAAGATGAAGTCTCAAGGGGCCAGAGGTATCGCTTAAAGGGTTGTACATGGGAGGTCTGGGCTTGATCCTCTGCATCACATGGTCCCTTGAGCACTGCTGGAGTGACCTCCACGCTGAGAGCCAGAAAGTCTGAATGCTGGTGGGTGTGGTCCAAAGAGAAATCAAAGACTCATGCACAAAGCACACACACAATAAGGAAGGCAGTTTCAAAGTGGACTGCACATGCCGAATACACATCCGACAAGGGGTTGATATCAAGGATATACAAGATACTGGTTGAATTCCACCAGAAGAAAACATCCAACCCCATCAAAATATGGAGCAACGAAATGAACAGAAACTTTCTCAAAGAAGAAATCCGAATGGGTAAAAGGCACATGAGAAAATGCTCCACATCATAATCGCCAGGGAGATGCAGTTCAAAACAACAATGAGATATCATTTCACACCACAGAGACTGGCCCACATCCAAAAGAACAAAAGCAACCGGTGTTGGCGCGGATGTGGCGAGAAAGGGACCCTCCTTCACTGCTGGTGGGAATGCCAACTGATTCACCACTTTTGGAAAACAGTATGGACGATTCTCAAAAAATTAGAAATTGAGCTCCCATCTGACCCGGCAATACCACTCTGGGAAATATATCCCAGAGAGGCAAAAAAGTATAGTCGAAGTGATATCTGCACTTGTTTGTTCACTACAGCACTCTTTACAATAGCCAGAATCTGGAAAAAACCCGAGTGCCTGAGAACAGATGACTGGTTAAAGAAACTTTGGTACATCTACACAATGGAGTACTATGCAGCTGTTAGAAAAGATGAAGTCACGAAATTTACATACAAGTGTTGCTACATGGAAAGTATCATGTTAAGCTTTGAAATGAGTCAGAAAGAGAGGGACAGACATTGAAAGATTGCATTCATCTGGGGAACATACAGTAACAAAATAGGAGACTAACACCCAAGAGTGGCCGAGATTAGTACCAGGAGGTTTGCTCCATGGCTTGGAGGCCAGCCACACGTGCTAGGGGAAAAGTCAGCTCAGATAGAGAAGGGAGCACCAAATAAAGGGTGTTGGGAGGACCCTCCCAGGATGGGAGAAGCATGCTGAAAGTAGACTGTAGACCAAACATGATTGCCACTCATTGCCTCTTTTGCAAACCATACCACCCAAAAGGAGAGAGAGAACAAAAGGGAATGCCCTGCCACAGAGGCCAGGGGGATGGGGGAAGGGGGGTGGGAGGGATGCTGGGACCAGTGGTGGTGGAGGATGGGCACTGGTGGTGGGATGGGTACTCGATCATTGTATAACTGAAACCCAAGCACAAAAATTTGTCCGTCTACAACTGTACCTCATGGTGTTTCACTAATAAAAATTAAAAAAAAAAAAGTGGACTGTGCACAGAGGAACCAATCCCTAGCACCTCATGACTTCTTGGGTATAGCCCTGGAGACCCTTCAGCACTGCTGAAGAGGCTCTTGTGACCTGTGGCCCCACTAAACCCCAGCACAATGGCCAACTTCACAGGGTGTGTCCCTGCTCCTGTACGCAATGTTTTATTGTTACTGTTTTGGACACCCAGCGGCCACTCTGGTTGTTCAGGGGCCTGTATCTGGTGCTGGGAACTCAGGCCAGGCTCGTAGCCATGCTGTAAAAAAGGCGTCTTCATCCCTTCACCCTCCAGCCCCTGTGCACATTTTAGTAAACTCTATACCCATGGAATGCCTTAGTTCTCTTCTTACTGCTCCCCAGCATTTGTACAAAGACACAATGTGTACATAAATAAGGTGCTCAAATGACAAGCCAGGAAAGGAAATTTACATGGAGATTAGAAAGCAAAGATTTGAGAAAAGATGGAGATTCAGACATAAAACCCTGCTGATCTCTGTCTGAATCATCTTGCTTCTTCAAATGGGCTTAAAGAAATGCCAGGATTCCAGTGACTCCTGGCACCTGACAGAGAGAAAATGGAGTTTCCTATCCTGAAAGGAAGAGGCAAAGGACGGCAGGACAGGAGAACCAAGAGGAAATGACCACCAAAACCAGCTCCTCAAGGGTGCCCCTCGTGGGAGCTGCTGGTAGAGAGAGGCACAGCATAAGTGCCGATCAACTCACTCTTCTCCAAAGCAGGTTGCAGGCATCACTTTCCTTCAATTCAGTATTGAAAACAATGTTAAGCTACCACCGTTTTGTTCTTAAGTTAGTAAAGCCGTTTAAACTCACTTTTCCAATACCATTTTTCTTATTTGTGGCTTACTGCTGCAGTTGTTACATGGACCAAAGTGGACAGCATTAAGTGGGTGCCACTTGGGGATGACATTTGTAAAGGTGACCAGATTCTTCGTACACCTAGAACAAAAAAAAAAAAAAAAGGAGACATAACTTAAAATTCTATTCATTTATATTAATTTAAATCAATGCCAAAACTTGCCTCGCTGGTTATTCAGACTTTCCAATTTCCTCAATCATGTAAAAGACTAATTTGCCAGTATTCTTCCCTAATCACAAAAGGCAAGCCACAGAGGCGAGAGCTTCCTCTGCCACAAGCCATTTGATCTTCACAACATCACTTGTGAGCCGGACAATATGAGCAGGCGGGCTGCATCGTGAGAAGCACCCGTGTCTGTCCTGCCCCACTCCAGGGTTAGAACCCAGATGTCAGAGCCTCCACAGCTCAGACTCAGCCCAGGGGGTGCAGGAGACATTCAAGGAAGGGTTCTCAGGAAAGATCACGGCCACGTGGGGCTGGGCAGTTCACTACCGTGGACACAGCGGGATGACTATCAGCACTGCTAGCCTCTGTGGACTATGCGCCAATAACAGCCTTGAGCGCTGGGGCCAGCACCTCCCCATACTGCCCAACCCCCCACAGAAGGCACACGGTCCCTGAAAGCCCTGCTTGCAGGACTTCACCTTTACTACAAGCGTCCTCCATTACTCCATCCCTTACTGGAACTCCTCACATTCACTATGTATTACTGGCAACAAGAGCAGCTATTTATAAAATATAATATAGAATGTAAAAACAGGTTACATTTCTAAAGATACCATCAGGAATACATACACTTGTAATCGTATGTCTATTAGCAAAAGAATTTTGCTTTGAGAAGCTACGCAGTTCTTAGTTTGTATTTTAGTCAATACTTGGGAATAAGAGGTATCAAAAAAAGGAAAACATTCAGGATATACCCTACAATTCAACGGCAGTCTTTGAAACAACACTTATTACCTAAGAGACAGTAGTTTCTTTTCCAAATAACAAATATTGATAAACGACAAGATGCAAGTGAGAGCAAACACTGGTTGTTAAAAATAGATTCTCAGGGATGGTGTGTGAAACGCAGAGCAGCATTAAGGCATCAACAAGTGCCTTCCCGACTCTAGGATCTCACAGATAATGGCTAAGTAAAAGCTCCTGCGTATTTACAAAAGAGAATTTTTGATCTTAGCAAATAAGCCCTACTGCCCACATAATACTCAGCCTTTTGGAACATTTATAGGACAAAGCAGGCCAAGAACGATCTTCCAAACACCCCCTGCGGTGGGGACTATTCTCATCCCCACTGCAGAGATGAAGAAAGTGAAATACAGAGAGCGCATCAGATGGTAAATTTACATGGTGAGCTGAGTACAGGAAGTGAGGCTCCAAAGACTACGTTCTATTTAAGTAAAATCTGAAACTGGGAGGGAGAGAAGACAGGAGGGTGTAAGGGCAGAAAGGAGGGGGGAGGGGCAGAGAGGGAGAAGCAGGGGGAGGAGAGGGAGGGACAGAGAGAGAGGGAGAGGGAAAGAGCGAGAGCGTGCAGGGATGAAAGCACTTGCTTTGCGAGTAGCCAATCTGTTTATGGCACCACAGATGGCTCCCTGAGCATCACCAGGAATGACCCCAGAACACAGAACCAGGAACAGGCTCCACCCCCTCACCAAAACCCCCTATACTAATGTTGAGAACAGCTGCACAGACAAAAAGGAGCCTGCTGGTGACTGGCAGTCAGTCAGAATACACAGAGCTGTGACATGCATGCATTTAAGGATGGGGCAGGAGCGATAGGACAGCGGCTAGGGTGTTGGCCTTGCACACAATCAATCCAGGTTCAAGTCCTGGCAATCCATAGGGTCCCGAGCCTGCCAGGAGTGACCCCTGAGTAAGGCTATGACCCCAGGAGTAAGCCTTGAGTACTGCTGGGTGTGACTCCAGAACAAAACAAAACAATTAAAACTTCTTTAATGAAATGCCACTCCATTTTCATTTATCCCCCTTCTCTGGAGGGGAGGGGCAGCCACATGCGGTGCTGCTGAGGGCTGCTTGGGGCAGTACTCGGAGGACAACGCAAGTGTCAGGGATCTGACTTGGCTTGCCTGTGCAAAGTACACTGTGTGCGCTCAGCCTGTGAGCTATCGTCTGGTTCTAGTTTCCCCTTTATAACTTAAATTTTTATTTTATTATTATGATTATTTTGCTTTTTGGGTCACACCGAGCAATACTCAGGGGTTACTCCTGTTTCTGCACTCAGGAATTACTCCTGGTGGTGCTTGGGGCATGACCTGGGATCCTGGGGATGGAATGTGGGTTGGCTGCTTGCAAGACAAATGCCCTACCTGCTGTACTCTTGCTCTGGCCCCCTATAACTTGGATTTTTAGAACAAAATAACTGTCTTTTAAAAATTTTTGGAAAAGCCTGCATCAAGTGCCGGAGGGGGAGAGGGGGTTGTCTCCTTCCAGGGAGCGCTGTCCTCTCCACACACCTGGCAGACACTCCCATGTCGGACCCGGGGGCTCTGTCCTTCCCACACACCTCTAAGAGACATTTCCTACATCAAAATCGAAGCAGCCTAACACACTCAACAAACCAATAACCTATCAGCAGCCCTGTAGTACGTCTATGTATGTCATCTTGCTTTGTGAAGTCTGAACTTGACCAGCGTAAAGATTATTTCTGTTCAGTTCCTGGCAGGTAGCACTAACAGAAAGTGGGGAGACCAAGATGCTGATTTTTGAAAAGCTCTAATTAAACAGATTTTAACCATCAAGCTTGTTTATATTATTTAAAGTCCAGGTGGTAATTTTGTGGGAATAGGTTGCAATGAGCAAGGAAGTCTTAGTGGCCAAAAATCTAAGTCTGAACCGTGGCTCTGGCCACTCTCTGGTGTCTGGTTTCGACCTTCTAGGTCCAGTTCTCTCCCTGGCCGATGAAGAATGATCAGAGCGTCTACAAGTATCAATGACAACAGACTTAGAAGCTGGTATTTCCGTTCTCATACTCCTTCAATCACCAGCACGCTGAACATCCACTGAAAGTGAGACACCAACACTTCCTCTGTTCTAGTACTTTCAAGTGATCTGCTAAAAAGGAAATGTTTGCTAGTTTTGCTGGTAGAATTCCATAGATTTTTTAAAAGCTCAGTTTTGACTCTTCTTAACTGGGTCCCTGAGTAACTAACAAACACAGGGCCCAGGGCAGCTGCGAGGTGGCAGGCAGCACAGACACCATGACCAGTCTTCACAACCACATAGAGAGCAGGGACAGGGCCTGGGAGGCGCAAATTTCTTAAAAAAAAAAAAGGGGGGGGGTACGCCAGCAGGTCAATCTGTACCTGTGATGCGAGTGCACCAGCAGCCTGATGGTGCCTTCAGACTTCCAGATACTCCAAAACTGCTCCTGTGCCTTTGGCCAGACCCCAACAACTTATGGCCAAGTTTACCAAGAAAGTAAGCGGCCAAAATCTAGGTATATGGGAGACACACCCACAAACCACCTCTGGCTCAGCTATATAACTGGAGGCAAGGTCGCTCTGGTTCCTGATCCAACTGCTTAACGGCCACGATCCCAGAGACAAATCTCGGAACCCAGCAGCTTTTGGCAGAAATGTGTCTAAACCCCGCAATAGGTTACTGTCACGAGGCCACCCCAGGGGGGAAAGGGTGCTGTCCTGCTGCCTGCTCCCCCTTGATGGCTTGGTGGCCGTCATCCTCCAGAGGCCACTGGACAGTCAGGTTTGGGCCCGCTGTGACAAGACACGTGGGGGGGGGTGGGGTCATGGGATGGGGGTGGAGCCGGCCCCTTCCTCTCTGCCCCAACGAGATCCCAAGTCACCACCCACGAATGGCCTCTCTGGCTCCTGATCAAGCTACTTGACAGCCACAATCCCAGAGACACAGAAACAAATCTCAAAATGCAATGGCTTTTGGCAGAAATGCATCTGGTCCCTGCAGTAGGTTACCGGTGCTGTGCCACCCAGGTGGGAATACGTTTCATGCCTTGCCCTGTTCCCTCTGGCGGCCCAGTGGCTGCCATCCTCCAGAGGCAGAAATCCCTCCAGATTTAATTGTTAAAATTTCGGAATTTCAAAATCATGCGGCTGCTACTGCAGCCACGTGACATCATGTGTTATTCATAACCAGCAACAGAAAACAACTTGTCTACTGTTGCCTTTTTGGCAGATCTGAGTGTTGGGATAAAATCCCAAAAAATAATGGTGGGTCTGGTGTCGAAATATTGAATGTAATCAAAGTAGAGAGTAATGTGAAAATCATCTGCCCCACAGGTACGGGGAGGGTGTGGGACTGGGGGTATACTGGGGTTTTTGGTGGTAGAAAATGGGCACTGGTGAAGGGACAGGTGTTGTTTCATTGTATGACCAAGACTTAAACCCAAAAGCTACTCTCACGGTGATTCAATAAATAAAATTATATAAAAAAGGGAAAAAAAATAAGGTGGAGTTCATGCCCAATTCAATCAGCCTAACCAATGGCTGAATAAATAGCAATACTCCTAAAAAAAAAAAAGCTCCAAAAAACCACCCATGTAGATCATGAATCTCCAAGTGATATTTCCCTCTCATATTTATTACATCTTATAACTAACAACTCCAGATTTTCTAATGTGTAGTTGGTGAGTATGAGGAAAAAAGGGCAAAGGATTATCTCCTTTATTGTTACTTGAAGAAATGAGAAAGCCAGGTTGGTAATTTCACAACTAACTGCCAGCCAACAACACTCTCAGATACAGATTAAGTGAGGTTTATCATTTCTGATGAGAACTTTCTCTCCTTAGCTCTTAACTTTGTTGTTCTTAAAGGTCATGGCTGGTGATGATAAGGGAACTAGGAGGTAGGCTGAGGATTGAACCCAGGTCAGCTGAGTGCAAGACAAGCACCTTACCTGCTGTACTCTCTCTCTCAGAACAAACAACTTGCATGCAATCATAAAACTCCCTGACCAGCCAAAGCTATTCAGAGAAAAAAGATGACAAAAAGAAGAGATACTGCAATTTTTGATTTAAAATTATACTATAGAGCAAGAGATCAATATAGATTGGTCGTAGAAAAAAGACATATTCTCAGACCAATGGCATGGAACAGAGCACCCAGAAATAAAGTTTCAGGTTTACAGACAGTTTATCTCTGACAAAGGAGCTTAGTGCATGAAGTTGAGCAAGGAAAGCCTCCTCAACAGATGGCGGCTCTTCAATCTCGAGGGAGGGGAGGGCACGGGGGAGGATCCACCTCATATGCCTTACACGAATGTCAACTGAAAGTGGAGGGAAGACCTGGAGATTAGACCAGAGCCCAAAAAATATGCCGAGGAAAAATGTAGGCAGAATGCTTCGGGGCAGGGACCTCTGAGACATTGCTCATGATTTGATTCCACTGGCTGAAATAAAACCAGAAATATACAAATGGACAAATTCAACGTATAACAAATTAAGTTTTTGCTTGACAACAGGACCTCGGGCTAAACCCAAAAGGCACCCTACCAAATGAGAGAAAACATAAGCACACACACATTAAGTAAAGGGCTAATATACAATATATATTCAAAATATATCAAGTATGCACACAGCTCAGAAACAAAAATGCTAATAGTAACCCCACCCAAAAAGGCTGAGAGTCGACACTTCAACAAGGATGACATACAAACAACCAGTAAGAGTGTATGAAAACGTGTTCACTGGCACTTGGTACTGAGATGCAAATTAGCAGAATAATAATGAGACATTTTCCCCCCTTTTTTCTTTAAGTTTCTGGATTGTAACTTAATGCTCAGGGATTACTGCTTAAGGCTTACTACTGGTTCTGTGCTCAGGGATCATTCTTTGGGAGCTATATAGGGTGCCAGGGATTGAATCCAGGTAGGATGCAGGCAAGTGCCCTACCCGCATGATATGCAGTTTTATCTTGCTTTAAGAATGGCTTATTTATAAAGGACTGGGTACAGTCAGCATTAATGAGGATATATGTGAAGAAATTCACTGTTGGAATGTTTGGAAACAAAACTGAGTTTCCAAATAACCCACCAATACCCCACACAAAACTAGCCCCGTGTGCAATAGTCTGAACACAGAAACAACCCAAAGCCCAGATCAATATATGTCATATATGCATTTATACATACACATCCATACATATATATATGTACACAGTGGAATACTATATAGCCAGAAGAAAAGATCAAATCACATCTGGACAGAGATGAATAGAACAGAGGTGCCATGAATTGGAGGGGTTTAGGGGGATGATGCGGGAGACTAAAAGTGACACAAAGACACCAGTAACAGGTCTTGGACACTTTGAAGGTGAGGTGTGAGCTAACCGTTGTCTATCAAAATCCCAAGCACCAACATTTCTGTAAGCATGGGACCCCAACTATAATTATCGGAACAAATGGGGTGGTCTGCTAAGAAGAAGGGATGAGGTCAAGAGGACCTCGGACACTGGAGGAGGGACACTGGGATCAGCTCACTGTATGCCTGAAACTCTTATCATTCGCAGCAATATTGTAAATCATAGTGCCCAAATAAAAGTGTGTGTGTGTGTGTGTGTGTGTGTGTGAGTGTGTGTGTGTATGGTCAACAGGGACCCCCAAAACCAAAGCCTAATTCCCCCCTTCATTATACTGTATGTGTACAGAAACTATTGCATCTGCAACTTCTCCAAATTATCCATTTCAGGGTCATGTCTATCAATTATGACCCATCTAATCCTCACCTAGATGAACAGGGAAGTGGAAGGCGTGGCTGGGACAGCTCACATGTAGGAGGATGCTGGTTGTGGCTGGTTTTTCAAGAGACTAGGGGAAGGAATGGGAAAGCATTAAGTTACCTCTAAGAGATTCTGCCCAACTCCAGGAGCCAAAGGTCAGTTCCATAATTAAAAACATAACAAAATAGAAACCCTAGTTAAGAACACAGGAGTAAACAAAACAGGCCCTTTCAAGGAATTCAGAGATATTCTTAGTGAATACAGATGAGTGGAGAAAAGTATGCAACTATTACCAACGCCCCAGTTTTCCCACTGAAGAACTAAAGAAAACACCTACTAGTAATCTATCAGGCAATGGGTTTTAACAATTCTAGTTTCAAGAAAGTGAGCAAACGGCAGCTTCAAGTGCATTAATTTTTCCTTTAAAGCATAATGGTAACAGGGTGGGAGATTTTTAACAGGAGTAAGAAGTTAGAGAGTGCACTGCTACCATGACAAGAATTTTCATTCAAATCTTATAATTCAAAATCATCTTTGACAGAATCTGTTTTAACAACAGAAAAACCAACCTGTTTTGATATTTGTGGCCACACTGTGAACATTCAAAGTTCCAAGAAAAAGAATACTTGAAGAGGTTTTCCACCTGGGGCTCCATTTTTAAAAGCAGGGGAAATGCAAACACGGGGCTTTCCATATCACCTTCAAAGAGGAAAGGGACGGACAATTAGTGCTCACAGTTAAGCAAGAAGTACAACTATGTTACAACCATCCTCACTATATTCACAGTATGAACATACGTAAGTTTGCACATGTACTGATGACAGAGCAGTGAGTTAATGATAGTTGGACAAGGGAAAGGTTCAACTTTTAATGCACATTTCCAAAAATGTCTATCATAAAGATTTTGTTATTGGGGCTGGAGAAACTATACAGTGAGCAGGGCACTTGCCTTGCATGGCCAATCTGGGTACAATTCCGGCACGTGGTTCCCCAAGCACTACCAGAAGTGACCCCGGAGCAGAGCCAGGAATCAGCCCTGTGCATTACCAGCAAAATCCCGGCCCTACATGTATGTGCAACACCATACATATAAAGTGTTTACTATAATAAGGTTTACAATTAGTTATCAGCCTTTGAATGCCTACTCTATCACTATTAATTTAAAAAGAAATTCACATTTTGTAATGTCAACAGAGTATCTTTATGTAGTTCACAATGAATCAAAATATCATGAAATAACTTCAAAAACACAATTAAGTTATATGATTACAGCTAATTCTGGGCAATTTATGTAGTTTCTACATTGATCTTATTTTTATTTTGATAGATTTTGATGGAAATTAAGTACAAAGTATGCTACTTACTAGAGAACATGTAAAACCAATGCATAATTTTAATTTCCTTAACTTCCTGCTTCAATTATTTAAATGGTTCCTTTTCCCCTAGTACCTTAAGCCCAACTCCCCACCCTTAGTGACTCCAACCCAATGATCTAATTTCCCTATTTTCTTCTCTAAAGCACCTTCATTTGCCAAGATAAGACATTTTTCATCAACTCTTTGTTGTCTAGCAATTCAATTCAACTGAAGCTCCTCTGTTAACTGGCCAACTTCGTCTTTGGGGGGCCTTGCTCAGGGCTTACTCCTGACTCTGCACTAGGGATCACCCCTGGAGGGTTTGGGGGACCATATAGGGTGCTGGGGATCAAGTCACAGTCAGCAGTGTGCAAGGTAAATACCCTAATTTGCTGCACAATCTCTCCAGCTCGCCTTTGGCTATATTTTTTATCAGGCCATTGTTTTCTTTTTTAACTGGTGCCTAAAAATTCTTTGTAAGATATTGCAGACATTATTCTTTATTTATTCTGATGCTGGGGATCAAACAGAAGATTTCAGAAATATGGAAATACATTCTACTGATCGGCTAGACCCAGGTCCTTAATTCTGCTACATCTTTATCCACTAATTTTAAAGGGTTTTTTTTTTTGGCCTTTTTGGGCCACACCCGCAATGCTCAGGGGTCACTCCTGGCTCTGCACTGAGGAATTACTCCTGGCGCTGCTTGGGGGACCATATGGGATGTCGGGGATAGAACCCCGGCAAACGCAAGGCAAACGCCCTACCCGCTGTGCTATCGCTCTGGCTCTTAATTTTAAAGTTTTAATGTATTCCTAATCATCAATCTTTAAAAAGCAAATCCTTCCTACTCTGAGCAACAGAATGTTCACCTATTATTTTCTTCCTAAGTCTTACAGCTCTGCGTTTCATGTTTAGCAGGGACCCAACTTCTTCTCCATGAGAATCCACTTCTTTTCAGATCTCACTTATCTATGTCACACTTTTCAGCGGCATGAGGTAAGCAAAAGAAGAGGACTTGACGCTTTTTACTGGAGGGTCTTTATTTTCAGGTTTTGGGGGACCACACCTGGAGGTATTCTGGGGCAATTCCTGGCTCAGTGCTCAGGAGTCACACCAGGCAGTGCTCTGGGAACCAGGTATTACCAGGGGAAATTTGGGGTCAGCCCAGTGCATGGTGAACACCTTAACCCCTGAGCTATATCCTGGGCGAAGAATGGTCAGTCTACTGTCAACTGATTAAATATAATCAAAGACTAGACACTACTCTAACTTAACAAAAGTAAACACGGAAACATTATCTTTACCTTAAAAATAATAATTAAAAAAATAGAAATAAAAACACTGAAGAACATCCAACAGAAGACAGTAACTGCTGTCATGGGGAAAGAATGACAGACTTTAAAGAGTAGACCAAGGGCTTTCAGTTATATTTCTAGTACTTTTCATTTTTATGGGGTGTATGGGGAAGGGTGTGAGGGTATTAGGTGGGGAGCATGGCCCCATGTTCAAGGCTTGTCCAGCTACTGTTCAGAATCCACGAGGGTCACCGTGAATTTAGGGACCAAGGGTCACCATGAATTTAGGGGCCGAAGGCAGAGACGCGCTGACAAGGGGCCAAGGATCAGATTTCAGGCCTCCAATGTGCTTAGACACAGGCTTGGAACACTTGTGCCATGTATCCCCCGCTCAGAAAATGTGCCATTTCTTTAATTCTGGAGAGGAAGTGCAAAGAGGGTAGTTCATAATGCACTTTTAAAAAATAATGAGACTGTTAAAATGTTTAACCACCATTAAGGGTCAAGAGATTCTACTTCTTAATATTTTTAAATATAGTTAAAAAATAGTTAATATTCAGGATGATGATGCATGCACTGTTAAGATTTTTAAACTGATTTATGTAGCTGAAATCAGATGTCAGCCAGATTTTAAATTCTAACATGGTACTGCTGAACGAGTAGCAAAAACACAAACAGTAGAGGGATTCTGTTTTAATTTTTGCATTTTATGCTCGTTCAACTGTTATCCCTTCACAAAATAACTTAAGAACCTCTTCACTATTGCCCTGAAAACCAGACCCAAGGTGGCAGTGGAGAAAAATGCAACCAAATTCCACATATAATATCTGGGATGAGAAGCGAGGCGTCTCAGACTGATGGAGAAAGCCATTCTTTAACTTGATCTGGAATCATAACAGGGATTCTAAACGAAACCCTTTGGGTTACTCCAGGAGAGAGCTAATATTGACAAAAGATACCAACATGGGATTCCTTCAATCTATTCTCCAGTGACCTACTGATACGGGTCCTCTGACATGAATATTCTCCCGACAACAGACCAGTGGTTAAGCATCAATGGCTCACCATAATCTCAGAACCAAAATTTTCTAGGACAATAGGTAACGGCTCTGTTTTTAAGTTCTGAAGTATAGTAATGGTTATGCCACCGTATCTAAAATAGGTGTAAAAAAAGGAAGAACACACATTCCATCTGAGACCCTCACACCCAATTAAGAATTCTAACAGTCCTTTAGACTTTTAGAAGTCAATGTCAGAGATTTGGCACATGGAAAATCAGAATATGGATTTTTACTCCTTAAGAATAGAGTAGGGGCTGGAGCAATAGCACAGCAGGTACGGCGTTTGCCTTGCACGCAGCTGACCGGAGTTTGATTCCCAGCATCCCATATGGGCCCCTGAACACTGCCAGCGTAATTCCTGAGGGAAAAGCCAGGAGTAACCCCTGTGCATCACCGAGTGTGACCCAAAAAGAGGCATAAAAAAAAAAAGAGTAAATTTATATTTGTAGTTTATCTGAAAACTAACACAAATGACACAAAACAACTCAGGGACCAAACTGTGGGACAAAGTTATACACAAAAGACACTGCCTATAAGTAGAGCATCTGGGGTCTGATGAAATAAATGTCACTCAGAGAAAAAAAAAAAAACGAAGGATATGGGTAATTTACTAACAGGGGAATCCTGCTACTACAACATCATATTAATGTAAGAATAAAGAAGAAGAAGAAAAAACCTCACTCCAAAAACAAAACGTACTGGCACCCTTCTACAATGACAAAATATCTGGGAAGACTGGAGATTCTGTTTTCCACTCTACTCCCAGAAGCCCACTGCCTACAAGTTGACAAGATCAAGAATTTGTTCCAGGGACTGGAGTGATAGTATAGCAGGTAAGGCATCTGCCTTGTATGCAGCTGACCCAGGTTTGATCCCTAGCACCCCATATGGTCCCGAGTTATCCTGGAGCACAGAGCCAGAAGTAAGCGCTGAGCACTACCAGGTGTGGCCTCCAAACAGAAAAACCGGGGGGGGGGAGAACTATTAAGGTCTAACTCCCATTCCTGAGATTCTTATTTATTGGACCCTTGGATCCTTAATAGTAGTTTTTACTCTTAAATTCCTTAGGGCACTTTTTATAATACAGTCAAGGCTGGAAATCCTGGGTAAAAGGTCTAGAGAGACACATTAAGAAAGCATAAACTCCCACAAGCACATTTACTGGGTTCTGAGATCTGTACTCACTTTCCAGGGTATAAAACACAGGTTGCATATCGATATAGAAAAACTGACCACCAACAAGTAACGTAACCAGTGGAGGACTGCAAACTCAAATGACCCAGATTCTCTCTCTCAAGAACCTCTCCATACAAAGTAAAAAGAGTACTGTATTTCTTATGCTGCAAGGATTTATGGGAAATGAGCGATATAATTAAACCACACAAGTTACTTACCTAATGTGCATCTAAGCTGAGGTTGAAGTCTAGTAAAAATGTCATCTCTGATTTCATTTAAGGAGGTCTCTATCTTTCTAAATACTTCTGAATTGAGCTTTTTACACTCTCCACCTAAAATTAAAATATAGGGCATTATCAATTTCTCATCAAATCTGTTTTTCACAGAAAAATAAAGACATTGCTAAGTATCAAAGTTCGCCAGTCAATAATTCTTATCAGTTAAGTAGCAAAACTTTGCAAAGAATATTAAAGAATACAACATTTTATTCACGCCTCCTCCAATCTCTGTGGCACACCATATACTCCCTCGATACGAGTTTACACTGTGAACTTCCTTCTTCCTGGATAAAATCTTAGTGAAAGCCTTTCTCATTCAAATAACCACAGGATTAGGAAAAGAGCAAAGCCTTCATAGATGGCACTGCTCAAACAGCTGACATTTTCTCTTAGAACACATGATTCTAACTTATGTTTGAGACATCAAGTAATGTAATTCCACTTGGGAACACATTATTATCGAACCTGGGTAGATCACAGGAGCTGATGAATCTGTTAACAAACCTTAACAAGGCTGTGATTATTTGCTAATATTTTAGTTTCTATTTTTGTTTATAAACGTCGTTTCCTCCTGTTGTTTTTTAAGAAGGGTGTAGAGGAGTCTCCTCATGACAAAGCATTTATACAGTTCCACATCCTGCTTCTTCATTAGAACCACTAGGCTTGGGGTAGAGAGAAGGGGTAAGGTGGTAAGGTGCTTGCTTTGCATGTGGCCAACCCCAGTTCAATCCTGTCCATTGCAGGGTCCCCAGGGGCAGACCCAGAACAAGCTTGGCACAGAGCTGAAAAGGGTCCCCCAAACAGAAACAACTCCAGGCTCCTACCTCAAACACTCCAAAGGAACCAGTTTACTTAATCACTCACTCCCCAACTACTCCCCCCCCCGCCCCAAGTATTAATACTACCACAATAAACGTCTCTGTTGACTTGTAGTTACTTCTGTATTCTTCTTTACAGAAACTAAAACTCTTAAAGCTGACCTTGGTGAGTTCCATAAAGACCACCAAGGCACAGGCAGCGGAGACATAACCACAACATCTGCTCTCTATGCTTCTGGGTTTTCAGAGACAGCCGCTGGGAAAACGTTGCTGCAAGTAGCGTCCTCAAGCGCCAGGACATTAGCCCTGGGTGTTGAGTCCCAGGTTTTGACTTAAAACACAGGCTATTAATGGCACCCAACTTCCCAACATGCTTTGAGAGGAGATTTCACATGACCCTGGCCTAGAGGACAATCAAATACCGGCACCTACCTGTAGCTGGGTCGAGCCGAGAGCTGTGCAGCAGCTTATTGGCTTCTCTGAATCTTGCAAACAACCTCCGGAACACGGATTCCTCCTGGGCACATAGGTCTAGCACTTTGTTTTTGAGCACTTGCAAATGCACCAATGCTGAGAGTATGCAGTCTAACCAACAGAGAGCGTAAGCATTCTCCCACTGCACATACGAAGTCTGGGCCACCACGGTGCCCTCTGAGGACGGTTCAGGCTGAGATGCACAGCCTTCATTCCGAGGGGATGTCTCTCCAGGTCCAGAGACACTGACCCTGGGCGGGGCTCCGTCCACAGCCACCTCCACAAGGTCAGTTTCCAAAATCTCAGTTTGCGCCTTATCAGTCGTTTTAAAGGAATTCTGCTGAGGATGGGCCTGTAAACTTGGTGAGGCTCTGGCATACACTTCTCCACTCTGTACGTCCTTCAAAGCGTGTTCATCATCAGTTTGGTGTTTTGTCTTTTTGGAATTTGCTGAAAGAACCAAATCTTGACAGTTGGTTTCCAAGACTTTTCTTTTCTGAGGCTTATTTGGAGTGTGACAATCATCCAAATCAGGAGAAATTAAGTTCTGAAGTGATTTAAAGCCCAAAGGGTAGATGCACTAGAAAAAAAGTGATAAAAACTACAAGCTCAAGTATGACTTTACAATTTCTAAGTCATAAAATTATGTATAAAATTTTAGCACCACTTGACGTGAGAGGGCATAACATTATCGATTTAAATTTGAATGAACAAGGAATAAACCATTTTAGTAAAATAAGGGGGGGGGGAATCCCAAAAGAATCGTACTAATTTGAATTACACTAGGGAAAAAGTTAAGAAGGAAAACACATTTTTTTCTTTAATAAAATACCTAATGTTGAGCAGATTTAAATCTTTATAATTTTTTTTGGTCACCCCCCCACTCCCCAAGTGCTAGGGATTGACCCAAGGGCCTCAGCCAAGCAAGGGACATGTTCAGGCAATAAGCTACCTCCTCAATCTAAAGAGTGCAACAGTTGAAACTGTTTAAACTGAGTTGGGGGGAAATAAAAGAACTAAGGTAACATTAAAAATCAGGACCAGCAGCCAGAGCTGGGAGGGCACTTGCCTTGCACGTGGCTGACCCGAGTTGGATCCCCATCACCCCACACAGTCCCCATGTACACCAGGAGTGATTCCTGAGTGCAGAGCCAAGAGTAATCCATGAGCATTGCTGGGCATGGTCTCAAAACAAATTTGGGTCAGGAAGGTGGCGCAGGCCCCAGGGCCCATGCCCTGCAAGGACAGGCCCTCTATCATGTGGTAGGAGCTGGCACTGGTGATCCCCGGCAGAGCAGGGCACAAGCAGCACATCCCTTGGACCTAGCACTGACCCATCGAGCCTGACTGGCTGAGGATCACTAGGAGCAGCCTCAGGCACCCCGACCACTGGCCGGGAGGTCTAGCTCCTTCCCCAAAATAGAAAAAACAAACAAACAAACAAAAAAACACCATTTTTTTGGCGGGGGGTGGGGGTGAAAGGTATGGGGGGTTACGACAGCAACGGGCCATGCTCAGGACATACTGCTGACTCTGCTCAGGGATCATTCTTGGAGGGGCTTAGGAGACCACTGGCAGTGCCTGGGTTTAAACCAGGGTCACAGACACGCTAGGCAAATACATTAGGAAAGTCTTTTTGAGTTTTATGGGGTCAGAGCAATGGCTCAAAGGGTTGGAGTACATGCTTTGCATGGGTAGCCCCAGGTACAATCTCCAGTGCCATATGGTTCACCCAAAAGCAAGATGTATGGAATAATTTCAATATTACCAAATTTTGAAATTAGAATATTAATTTGAGGGCATATTAACTTTACATTCTTACTGTATCCAAGAGTCAAAATGACTCAATTTTAATGACTTAAACTTAATCAAACCTCAGGTACAATAAAACAATTTCACTGTAATTTGTCTTATGTGAACATGAGTAAAATATTTTACAAAAATCTCCACACCACCTGTCCTCACTGAAAATGTAATATCACCAACACAGTGTGGCAGACTGCTACATGTTGTATGAACCAAAACACCACATCCCAGGTATTCACCCGCAATCTCCTGCCTTTTTATAAAAGTTTGGGTCTATCCGCTTAACTGAAATGGATGAATGGGTAAGAAAATGTCAACACAGTCTCATTCAGAATTGAGAGGAAACCCTGTTCCATGCAAAAATATGGAGAGCCTGAGGACAGCGCGTAAACATTAAATTCAAAGACCCTAATAAAAAGATACCCTGTAATCTCTTTTATATGAGGTATTACGGTCCTCACATTTACACAGATAGAAGCAGATCCTGGGTTATTAGGGGCTGGGTGTGGAAGCACAAAGGAAGATGGCTAATGGTGAAGAAGTTCAGTTCTGAAAGATAAAATGTCCTAGGACTCTCACGCAACACTGGGAATAAATACACCTAACGATTTTGATTGGGGAAACAGAATTACCATTTCAAAATGGTAAAGAAAGTACACTTTCATTATTTTTCTGCAATTAAAATTTAGAACAGTAGTACGGTGGGCGGGCTGGAGCCACAGCACAGTGGGCAGGGGGTTTGCCTTAGATGAGGCAGACCCGGGTTCGATTCCTCCACCCCTCTCCAAGAGCCCGGCAAGCTACCGAAAAGTATCTCATCCGCACGGCAAAGCCTGGCAAGCTACCTGTGACGTGTTCGATATGCCAAAAACAGTAACAAGTCTCACAATTTGTTGTGAGATGTTACTGGTGTCCACTCGAGCAAACTGATGAACAACGGAAGGACAGTGCTATAGTGCACAGTACAATAGGCAGGGCGCATGCCCTGCATACACAGTTGACCCAGGTTCCATCTCTAGAACTGCAAACTCTTGGCAGAGGTTTCCCTGCACGAGGGGCACGTGCCCCTCGCCTGCCTTCCGCAAGCCCGTCCAAGCCATCCTCAACCATAATGCCTTCGCCCTGACTATCCCCTTATGTAAATGAATGCTTTCAGATCTGCCAGGCTATATGGGTCAGGACCTCCAATACCAAACACATATGTCTCTGCCCTCTCAACCTTTGCCCTAAGCCCTGCTTTCAGTTTTTTATCTTTTTATACCTGACTTTAAAAGTTTCTATTTCAGTTTCAGTGAACACATATCATTAAAATAAAATCTTTCAGCCAGTCTTCCCAAAGAGACAAAGCACTGACACACAAAGCATTAATTTTTTTAGTCTAGTCCAACCAACTAGGAGAACTTAAAAAAAAAATAGTTCTGGGTGGGAAAAATCTAACACGAGGGACTGGAGAGATAGTACAGGGAGTAGGGCACTAGGCTGGCATGTCGCCAACCTGGGTTAGACCCCCAGCATCCCATACTGTCCCCTAAGCAGAGCCTGGAGTGATTCCTAAGGCAAAGCCAGGAGTAAATCCTGAGCACTGCCAAGTGTGAGCCCCCCGCCTCCCCAAATAATCTACCACCAATTTTCAGAGCACTTTTAACAATCATATTCCCTTGAGTAAGGAATAAGAAAACATAACACAGGGTTGGAGTGACAGCACAGAGGGGAGGCGTTTGCCTTACAGCGGCCGACCCACCAACTCAGATTCAATTCCTCCACCCCTCGGAGAGCCCAGCAAGCTATTAAGAGTATCTCGCCTGCAGGGCAAAGCCTGGCAAGCTACCCATGATGTATCTGATATGCCAAACACAGTAACAAGTGTCACAATGGAGACATTACTGGGACTGCTAAGTAAATTGATGAACAATGGGGGGACAGTGAGAGGACAGTGACCACAGTATCTTATATTTGGATAAACATATATAAGGTGCGGTCAAAGACAAATTATTAAAATGTTCTTTTTAAAAATGAAGAAAAAAAATAAAATACAGCTCAGTGCTTGGGGTTGCTCCTGGCAGTCCTCACGGACCATTCGGCACTGGGGACTAAACCAGGCCTCTGCATGCAAAGCAAGCATACCATCAGGAGGCAGGTCAACGTAAATACACGATCCAAGAAGGGGCTCATCACATGATTCTTTTGTGATTCATCACTGAAAACACAATGTTCACTGGACTGCAATTTTTACAGTAAAACTCCCAGAAAGTAATAATTTAGTTAACTTAAATAATTTGATTCAGATGAGCCAAAGGTATTGGCGAAGCTTAGCTCTAAGGCCAGATGAATAGTTCAGCCTTTGTGAGAGATTTAGTGTGTTGTAATTACCTAATCCTACTGTTATAGTATAAAGGTGGCTATATACAATATGGTTGACTGTTACAGAGACATTACAATAAAGTTCTATTTATAGACATTTCACCTGTATTTATAGATTAAGATTAGAATATTTTCTAAAAATTAAATCATTAATGGCAGAGTCTCCTGCCCCTGCACCTGGCTGTCCTCACCGGGGCCCCTTGGAGGGGAGTGGGTTGAGTTTCCCTCCCCACCCCGACCAGGGCTCCGGCAGCCAAAGACCTCCAGAACCAGCCACCACCATGCTGAGACCACTCTCCACACGCATGAAGGTACCGGCAGAGGAACAAAGGCATATTGGTCCCGGGGCTGAGATCTCCAAGCCTGTTCGGATCGGGGCTGAGCATCCTCCACCCAGATCCTCCAAATTCTAGTAGGCGGGGGTCACACCCACCAACTGGCCCCCTGGCGCCGTGTAATCCCATCAACGGCCAAGACCCAGAGACTATAAAACCCAGCTCCATTTTATTATCTCATTCTTACTTTGGACATCCTGGCAGGCTACCAAATGTAACCTGCCCACACGGCAGAGTCTGGCAAACTCCCCGTGGCGTGCCCAATATGCCAACTACCAGTAACAATGACGGGTCTCATTCTCCTAACCCTGAAAGAGTCTTGAATATGGCACTTTTTAAAAAATCTCAGGGCTAGGACGAAGAAGACGTTACTGGGGCCTGCTTGAGGCAATCGACGAACAACAGGATGGTCATGATTGTGATCAAAATCATTAATATGCAAAATTTTTTATTTGCAAAGTATGTACTTCAAAATACTTCAAAATTCTTAGTTATATGTATTTTCCATCCCTAAAGTGCTTCAAAACCTGAAATTAATCACATGTCTAACCTTAACATCTGAAATCTATGCCTTGAGGCCAGAACTATCTCCATTCTAGTAGCACAGTCCTCCCATTGTTCACAGATTCGCTGGAGTGGGCCCTGTAACATCTCCATTGTGAGACTTGTCACTGTGTTTGGCATATCAAATATGTGACAGGTAGCTTGCCAGGCTCTCCGAGAGGGGCGGAGGAATCGAACCTGGGTCAGCCAGGCTGGCCGCATGCAAGGCAAACGCCCTACTGCTGTGCTATTGCTACAGCCCTAGTAGTCCATGATTAAAGAAATCTCCTAAACTCTATGGGGATACTTTCCCCTTGAATCAGCATGGTTCAATTTTTCTCTAATGTTCATAATTCTGGGGCTGGAGCAACAGCACAGTGGTAGGGCGTTTGCCTTGTGCGCAGCCAGCCCGGCTGAGCCAGGTTCGATTCCTCCGCCCCTCTCGGAGAGCCCGGCAAGCTACCGAGAGTATCTCGCCCTCACAGCAAAGCCTGGCAAGCTACCCGTGACGTATTCGATATACCAAACACAGTGACAACTGTCACAATGGAAATGTTACTGGGCCTGCTCGAGCACATTGATGAACAACGGCAGGACAGTGACAGTTCATAATTCCACAACTTTACTTTGAATTAATCAGTAAACTCTATATAGTACAGTAACGGTCTACAACAGATCAACTTTCATTCTCTAAAATCAAGCTCTCCTTGAACAAAAGCCCCTCTCTCCTCTGCTTCAAGGACATCCCGCCAGCAAATCTATTTCTTCTAAGGCTGTTCTCAGGGCTTACTGCTGGCTCTGAGCTCAGGAATCACTCCCGGTGGGCTAGGAGACCAGCGTACTGGGAACTGATCCTCCGCCAGCTGCATGCCTTCCCACTACACTACTGCTACAACCTTCCTTCAGCCAACTCTGTGACTTTCTTTTTCCTATCTTTAGTGGATAGTCAGAATAGAAACTAGATGTTATTTTTTCCCAATTTGAAAGAAATTAAAGCCCTTTTCTTTTCAGATACCACATTATAGTCATACTTAGTTACTGTACTCCCACTTTCCATCACCCTGTCCAATCCAGCTCTTACCAGCTACTACTTTGCCAAAATTATGTCATATTCAAGATCTCCAAGGATCCCCACAACACATTACTATACCTTGCCTCTTTTGTTACATGCTTCCACTTTGTAGGATAACACTGGTTTGTTCTTTCTCCCTGACCACAGGGAGCTTAGGTTTATCAGGTTACACCCATCACAGTGCTCCCGAGCCACTCCCATTCCTCTGTGTTTATCTTCTCTGTGCTCTCCTCCCCAACCAGTTAATCACCTTTCCCCCATAATCAGATTCTGTTAACTTTAAGATCAGATCCTTTTAAGGACACTGAACTTGTAAATTATGTCTTTTACATAGCTTACCTTAAAGCAATGTCCTTTCTGTATGGACACAGGAAGAGTTAATATCATGCTTTTGTAACTTGGGAGTTGACGGACTCCAAATAATATTTACTCCTGGGCATCTGCTTTCTTGACTCAGTTGCCCTTAGTTCCTAGCAGTCCCAAAGCAGGGTCCCGACGAGGGACTGAATGGGCCCAGGGCAAGCTGCGAGCTACCCTGGCATCAATATGGGCCAAGCCAAAGCACCATGATACTCAACTATAAGTTGAGGGCGTGATCATGGGCAAATGCTGTCATGATCCAAAAGTAATGACGAGATTAGGACCCTGCTGGGGCTAGAAGACTAAGCTGGCCTGAGGACTGCAGTCTACACACACACACACACACACACTGCGGTATAGTGAGACATCCTCAGGAAGAACCAAACCCAAGTTTATATCTCTTCCTGTGCTCATACAGAATGACACTGCTAGACATATTAGAAGTAGATTTACTAGAACTGTTTAAGGAGATTACTAGCTGAGGAAAGAAGAAAGTGACACACCCTGGATGGGATCCCGCCCTTGAGTGGCTCTCCTAGTAATCCGGAGTAATCTCTTTAGATGAGATTTTATCCTTAAGTTCATCTCCTGGAGGAGTGGTCTTACCTCTCTATGTTGATTTGTTCAACCCACCTTTGTATCACCACCCTATGTGAGTGCTATATGAACTAGGACTGTAAGAGCGGAGGCGGCAGAGTCAGATCCAGAAGCCCAAAAAAAATGAGGGAGAGAGAAGGGGGCTCGAGAGAGAAACAGGAGAGGAATCACAGGAGAATGGAGAGGAGATGGGAATAAACTACAACTGATACCAACCAGCCTGGCCTTCATCCCTCCCTTTGCCTACCCATTGCCGTTCGCCTCCCCAGGGCGGGGGAAGCAGAGACCACGGAACACAAGCGGCAGGAGAGAGAGCACATCACTGCCCTTTGGAAAACACACACAACTGGCTCCTAGGACAATGAACTCTCACCCCCGGCTTTACTATCCTTCCCCCTCTCCTGCCCCACTTCGTCTCCCCAGGGCTTTAACACAGGAGTGCCCCAGGCTGTAGTTCTTGGGTCTCTCTCCATACTTCCTACAGAAACATGAACTTAGGTAGAACTCATGGCTGCACACACTTATTTCAAATCTCAAAGCTCTCCACCGTATATTTATGCATGTATACACCGTATACATGCATAAATTCAACTGTTTATGCCACAGAGTCAGACAACAGATGTCGAAGCAGTACGGACCCGGATTAAAAAGAAAGCACAGCAGAACACTACGTGTTTAGCAAGCTTCCATATACAAGTTACATCAAGCAATTACTTTTATTAGCTATTATTTTAATTAAGTCTACAGGATAACTGGAGCCTTAACTACATCTATGCCCTTAATACTAACAACATAGATTAGTAACTTTTCCAGCAAGTCCTGTTATGAACAGAAAAAAAAACACCCAAAACGAAGCCTGCTCATTTTATGGTAAGAGTTAAAAACCTAACCTAGGGCAGAATGAGGTCAGAGACAATACAGTGAGTAAAGTGCTTGCCTTGTATGGCGCTGACTGGGGCCGTCCCCTATGATCCCCTGAGCACTGCCGAGAGTGATTGCTGAGTGCAGAGCCAGGAGAAATCCCTGAGCATCACCAAGTACAGTCCAAAAACAAAAACAACCCGGGCAAAAGATAGTACAGCACGTTGAGTGCTTGCTTACATTCTGCTGACCTGGATTTGATCTCTGGCATCCCATATAGTCCCAGAGCACCACCGGGGTGATTCCTGTGAATAAGCCCTAAGCAGCGCCAGGTGTGGCCCCCAAACAAACCCAAAATCCCACCCAGATCACAAGGGGCAGAGGACACAGGAGGTCTGGGTTAAGGTGCCCAGAGCACTACCAGCATCACAAACTAGGAAGGGCCCCTAAGTAGCGCCAGATACTGACCCAAATCAAAAGATCAGTAACAGAAACATATCTAGCTTAATAAATCAATTAGATCACTAGATCTGTTAAATTTTTTTTAATCACCTCAAAGTTAATAAACCAAAGGAATAAGAATTAACTACTTCATATCAACAGTCATCAGTACTTTCACAAGACAAAAAACAAACTGGGAAATGACTACATTTTCTCCTTACAATAAGGACAGTAGCAGTAAATATCTCCATGCACCACCTCAGGAAACCAGGGAGAGAGAACACGGAAAACACGGGAAAATATGTTAAATCACACACCAGGAAAATTTAGACATACTGATGACCTATGCATTAGGAAGTCAGTCTAAAAAGAACAAAACTGTTTTCAAATTTAAACACCTTAAGAACAACACTTTACCTGCAGATCCTCACATAAAAAGATAGACTCTTGAAAACTAATTCGGTAAGTCTTCAAGGCTTTTAACTTTCCTTTCTCTCGACAAGCAGGGCAATACCCATCTGATGGAACTTTAGCTGAATCATAACTCTAAAACAGAAACGAAACAGATTAAAAGACATTTCTAGATTGCATCGAATTACCAACAGGAAGCATAAAATAACCAGCAAAAAAATGGTACTATTTTAGAAGTGTTCTGGCAAGTTATTTTAAACAATAAATAAAGGAATGAACATATTTCTTTTCCAATACATCTATTATTCCAAAGAGATACTGCAGTTTTAAATGTAGAATTTTAGGTGTTAAGAACAGCATCAGTTTTATTTGCAAGAAAAGAGTAATGTCAACTGCCAGGGGGAAAACACATATTTCAAATTTGTATAAGAATAAGCCTAAGTCTTATTTATTTTTAATATATCAAAAAAACACAAAGAAGTAAACACATTAAAACAATTCTTTCGCCATTACTGTAAGATTTCCGTGGAAGACAGTTTTTTTTAGAAGTTAATTGATAAAATTGAATTTAAGTCTCACATATAGGAGGAAAAGACCTCAACTTTGCACTGAGGCAAAAAATAAGTTCACTAACTTTTCCCAAATACCCCACCATGTGGAGTGAAGATTTCCCTATATCAGTCCCTGGTCCAATCACAGGCAAACCATTTCCAATCTTCTGGGAATCCATCATTCCGAGTCATTGGCTAATTTATGTCACTTGAAACATGTCAATATCACTAAGGATTTTTCAATGAACCCTGAAAAAAAAAAGGTCAATAGACAATAAATAATCCCATTTAAGAAAGCCATGCTACTTTATACAAGTTTATATAAAAAGCACAGTTTTATGTCCTAGATAAACATTCTAAAATTATAATATCGTAAACAACAAAAATGTATAAAATTACCATATCCATGAGAGGAAAAGCAGAGACAGGCAATAGGAGCAGTTTCCATAGTTGATTTATTTCTTAAAATCTCATCAAAACTTTTAACAGAGGCGACTTTTAAAGCAAACTATATTAGCCAGAATTTTGGAGATCTATTTTTAAGTCTATATACCATTTGAAACAAAAATGTCAACATTTTACCTAAAAGATTCTTCTAAAATGCCCTATTCATTTGAACACTTGGCAGGGGCAAAAGGGCTACCCTATTACTATCAATTTCAACTACCAAGGATTTATTATCAACTGTGAATAGATAAAGCTACTTTTTCAAAGCTGCCAAAGAAGATCTTACTCTGTATCAAGTACAGTAGTTGTCCTTATTGTGGGAAGAAGGCTACACATTCTAGACACACAGTGAATGTGAGCCTACTGATTATACCAAACCCGATAGATACTGTGTACTGACACAAACAAAGCGATACACAAACTTATAAATTTAACTGATAATTAAGGCACAGGAACAGATGAGGACCCAGTAATAAAAAAGAATCCCAAAGATACACTGCGATGAAATTTACAAGGACATGCCCACTCTCTAGCACTCTCTCCACCCTCCCCCTTCTCTCTGGCTCCCTCTTTCTTCAGCTTCCCCTCTGTTCCCTCAAAATCTCTAAGAATACATTTGTTCCGACTACAATAAAAGGTAACCAAAACCAGGACAGAGCTACTATAAATGCTGGCACCAGAATAAAATACATGTGATGTCCAAGTACAAATTACATATTCATAAGCCGTTCTTAGTAAAGTCCCTTGGAGAGGGGGTAAAAACCCACATTCAATCCGATCCCGAGAATGATGTTTAGGTCATCTTGAAGAGCAGGTGTGACAGGAGACCTTTAAGCTGAGGAAACACTCAACTATCTACTGTAAAATGATCTCAAGCTCCAATCGTCTCAAATCTAAGAATCACTGGTTCTATGATACCCATCCCTGGGAAACTGAAGCAGCTTAATTACTTTAAAAAACAAGGAGCAATTTCAAAACTTTCTCCAGGAAGTTCTCCATACACGTTTTCCAATTCTCGATGGCCTAAGCCAGGTGTCGCAACCACAGCAGGACACTTCGGCCCAGGTGAGGGCTGTGTGGCCAGTGTTTGCAGGCACTGCTCGGCAGACCTCCTGGCTCAATGTCAACAGCATTCACAGGTCACTGTGACAACTAAAAATGACCCAAGAAGTGGTCAAATGTCCCATGCAAAATCACCCCTGAGCACAATGTGAAAATAAGCCTGGAGCTAATTGTTTTTATTTTTAATTGGTTCAGAAAAAATGACAATCAATTCTAGTTGGCTGGCTCTATTTGTTATCTCCTTGCAAAAATGGAGCTCTGGAGAAAAGAGGCACTTTTATGGTTCCAGAGTAGCGAAAAGCACAGGTTTTACACCTGGAGATCTAGGTTCAGACATTTACTGTCAAAAGGATCAGGCTAAGAATTCAACACTGTAATAGATGTAAAATGCTCTGCAATTTTACAATGCATTTCCAGTGCAAAGAATCTTGCAATTTTACATGCAATTATGATAGGTTTATGAGGCAGTGACCTTCCAATTCACTATGTAAAAAACGATGCAACAAACCTTGTAGAATAATCTACAAAATAAAAATCGGAAGAATGTATGTCCTAAGTGAATTGTTTTTGATAAAAATTTACATCTGTGGGACGGAGCAGTAACAGCAGGTATGGCATATGTCTTGTACTGGGCCAACATGCAGTCAACACCCAATCCCCAATCCCCAGGCCCACCAGGAATGATCCCTAAGTGCAGAGGCAGGAGTAAGCCCTCAGCACTGGCAGGATGCGGCCCATCTGCAAACAAAAATTTCCATCTGCCTAAGAGTTCTTGAAAATTTTCCCAGCAGGTCTCATCTCAATTTAAAGCCAGTCTTCCTGTCAGCTCAGCTGATCCGACTACCCAAAACTTCAAAAGGAAAGGCAGGTAGCTGGTGGAAGAAATCCTGAGTCCAAAAAAAAAAAAAAAAAAAGCCCCAAACAAAATTCACTGCAGAAAACAAACAAAAACCCAACACCCAGACCAGTGATGCAGCTCCTGAGCATGTGCTCTGGTTTCCACAGCTCATTATAAACATTATTTCTTAAACGGAGGTAGGGTGCAGTCATTCTGACATCTGTATCACAAACTTTAACATTACTGTAACAACCAAAACAGAATTATTAAAAATAAAATGCCATGGACTAGAACAATAGAACAGGGAGGGCATTTGCCTTGCAAGCCTGGGTTTGATCGCCCCAGCATCCCATCTGGTCTCCTGAGCACTGCCGGGAATAATTCCCTAGTGCAGAGCAGGAGTAACCCCTGAGCATCACAGGGTGTGACCCCAAAAGCAAAATAAATAAAGCACTTATTTAAAAAATAAAATAAAATGCCGGAGAGACCCATTCAGGTCTTCAAATACAATTCACAAACCCTGTTTTGCATAGTCCCTAAATGTCTCATCCTCTTCCTCCAAAAGAACCTGTTCCTTCCCTTGAATTTTAGCTAGACTGCGGTCTCTCCCTTCTTCCAAGCACAAATTGTAGCAGGGAAAACTAAAGGAATTCTCTCCTCTTATTTCCCTCTTCTTCCAGCCCTTGTCACCAAGTCCCGCAAACAGTTCCTGGGGAGCTCAAATCCTCCCCCACCTCCCCGCGCTCTTCCCCACACCTGCACCTCCTCGCTGCTGAAAAGGCTGCCCCAGCAAACTAGTCCGAGTCCCGTCACCGCTCGCAGCTTCAAACCATCTAGGAATCAACGGCTTGAGGGCAGGAAAGTGCAAAGAGCTCTGATGGCCTGAAGCTTGGAAGTTCCAAGGCCTCAAACTCACTGCACGGTCCACCAGGCTCGCCAGCCCCTGCGACTGCACTGCACCCCCCACCCCCTCCCCCAGGAGCTTCCTTCCCGCGGTCCCCGTTTCATTCATCTCGGAGCCACTGCTGCTATCCTAGAAGCTCGAACGGCAACTACTAGCCCAGAAGGGACCCAGTGGCACAGCAGGGGCGGCGAAGTCCCGCCTTGGCAATGGCGAAAGCCACATAACTGAGGTTCATTCAGTCCCACGTGCAAAAAAAAAAAAAACCACCTGGGAAACCGCAAATAGCTGTTGCGACAGGCGCTTACCTTCGGACACCAAGGGGGCTTAGCAAGCTAACTGTCCAAAGTGAGGCTGCAAATGCTTCGAAGCCGAGCTTTAGGGTGCAATAAGTGGGTAGCAAAGGCCCCAACCCCACGGCCGTCGGGAAACCGAGAGCCCCAACCTTGCAACCTTGCAAGCCCACGGAGGCGCGGGATGCCCGCGCCACCTCCCCGCTCCCTAGGAGGAAAGCGGGCGGTGGGGACCCACAGAACTCTGGTTTCTCTTCAGCGCTGACCTCCGAGCCCACACGGAGACGCAACAAGACGTCGGTCCTGCGAGCAGCAGCCCTTCCCGCCCGGACCCGGTGCCAGCCCCTTCCCTCCCACTTGAGCGCGCAGACCCTCCCTCGAGGTCACCCCGACACTCGCCCCCAGTCCGGACGCCGGGCCGGGAAGCAAACGAACTTCTCCCCGCCCTTACCTGCTCGGGGCACTCGCTTTCCGCGCGCCGGGCCGGCCCGAACTCCCGTTCCAGCTTGAGCTCCGCGCACCAGCCTGCGTGCAACGTCCAACACACGTTCCCCGCCACCCGCTCCTCCCCCACCGGCGCCCGGGCCGGGAGAGCAGCTTCCGGCCGGAGTCCGCGGCCAAAGGGTTCCCCTTCCTGCCCCGCGCCGGGTCCGAAAGGCGACACGCCGCGGCGGGGACCGCAAAGCCGGGAGCACTTCCGGCCGGCGCCCCCACCCTCCCCTCCCCCGCCAGCCCCGGGCTGGCGCAGGCGCAGTCACGCCCGCGGCGCCCGCCCTCGGGGAGTGGCGGCGTCGGGAGGCGGCGTTTCTGGAAGCTGCTGGAAACCGCTCGCGGGGCGGAGGTGACGCCGGCGGCCGGAGGGGCGGGGGTGGGGCGTGATTAAAACTAGTGCGCGGCCCGGCTGCGGAGGGATTACGCCCGGGAGAGACGGCGGACGCCTCCCCGGGCCCACTAAGGAGCCGGCGGGCTGGGCCGGGCCGCTGGGCACAGCCAGGGGGTCCCCGGGCCGGGCGAGGATGCTCTGGGGCATCTGGGCGCGCGCGCCCCGGGGGCACCCACGGCGGTATCTGTTCGCAAAGCACCGCGGGAACCGCGTTTGGGAAGCCCGAGGGTCTCCCCGGCCGGGCGCGGTCCGCTCTGGTCTTGTCCTTGGGCCCCTCCCGCAGCTGGCACGGGTGCTGGGGGCGGGGTCCAGGGCCACGGGACCCCGCGCGGGAGCCGCGTGTCTGCTGCCCCCAGGGCTCCGCTGGGGATGGACGAGGGGGTGCGCCCCCCGAGGCCGCCCCCGGATCTCGGGCCACTCTGACTCAGTGTCCCAGAACGAACATTGGTGGCTTGTGACCACTGCCTGACCGAGTTACCCGCGTTGGCATTTCGGACTAGGGTGTATTTTTTGTTTGTTTGTTTGTCTTTTAATAGTCCCGAGCGATTCTAGTCTGGAGTAATGCTGGTGATGTTGATGGGGTGGACAAAGGAGAGGAGATGCCAAGAAATGGTTCAGTGAGGATTTTCGTTTTCACTTCGACTGAACGCAGATGGGCCAAGGGAAATTCAACAGGGAGTTCGTTTTTGTTTTCCTCTCGGCTCAGAAACAGGCTTTTTTTTTTTTTTGCTTACCTTTTTTTTTATTGTATACTAAATTATTCACTTACCGGTTTATTAGGTCTGCTTAGATTTAAAAAAAAAAACTATTGATTAAAATGAGTAATATTTCCTTCTTGCACTAGTAGCCCCAAATCTTCACATTCACTATTGCTCTTCTTTAAAAATGGAATACACCATTTTTTTGAATACACCATTTTTTTGAATAAACATTTGCCGAGGTTGACTTTAAAACCCGAACAATTGATTCATTTAAACTGTAGTTAAAATTTTAAGATAGAAAAATCAACATCACAACCAGAGCAAATTATAACACTAAAACGTTGGTATCCACGAAGTTAATTTATAGTCTTTTAGTGTGTATTTGATTTCCTGCCAGGAAAAGAAAGGTATGTAATGGTAATAAAATGGGGGTGGGGATTGGTTATGGAAAGAAGAGATATTAGTGTGAACTGTGTTCTGACTCAAAGCTTTTTTTTCCCTTGAAAAGTGGAGGTAAAAGGAGCCAAGCATGGAAGTCAATCGGGAGAGTTTGACTAGAACTTTCCCTTTTATTTACATTAAGGTAATATTCCTTAAAGATACACATGGAGGCATCCACAAAGGGCCAAAGGCAACACAAGGGGAGAACTGATCCACGCAGTTGAGTTTGGCAGTGTTGGAGTGGAGTGTTGGAGTCCTTAGGGAAGGAGTGTGGCTACACAGGCTAGGTGTGGTGTTGGAATTCTGTGCATGAGAAGCCATTATTGATAGTAATGTAAACCACAGAATCTCAATAAATTAAAAGTTGTTTTTTTTAAATCGTCCCAAACTAAGAAGGTTATATACAGGCAGAAGGTTGTTTCTGCCTGTCATTAGCAATTTGTGGGGTGTCTCTGTATACTGTGAAGCCCCAAATTGTGTTGCAACTGTCTTCATCCCCTTCTTAGCATTGTGGGGCAAACGTTTTTATCCCCCTATTTCCTTTTAAAAACACATACAAGCAATGGTAGTTGTTATTAAGTGCATGAGCAGCTACAATAGGAATGAATGTACAATTAGGACTTTTTTTTTTTAGTGACTTAGGGATGTGGCTGAGGTGTCAGATCCTTGGGCTGCCCCACTCACACCCCCACTCTGCAATGGCCCCTACTCCTAACAGCAAAAGAATAAAATTATCTTGTCATAAAGTCTGTCAACCGTGGGTTTGGGTCTGTTTTTTTTTTCTTTTGGTTTGTTTTTGTTTGGGGGCCACATCCAGAAGTGCTCAGGACTTAGTCTTTCTCTGTCCTTAGGGATCATTCCTGGCCATGGCTTGGGTCTGGGTTGAAACTCGTTTGGTTAGGTGCAAAGCAAGCACCCTGCCTGCTGTACTATCTCTCATTTTTTAATTTTTAATTTTTAAAATTTGTTTCAGGGCCACACCTAGCGATGCTCAGGGGTTACTCCTCGCTCTGCACTCAGAAATTACTTCTGGCCATGCTTGGGAAACCTATGGGATGCTGGGAATCAAACCCACATCAGCCACACGCAAGGCAAGTGCCCTTACTCATTATACTATCGTTCCAGCCCCTGCATTGGCATTTCTTAACCACAAAACAAGTCTTGGGCCAAAACCTGAGATGTAAAAGCTGCCCGCTGTGATTGCTTGTTCTGGTCTCATCAGAAAGATGAGGTAACTAACCTTATTTTCTAGTAGCAGCCTTTGAAAGGGCTGGAGCGATAGCACAGTGGGTAGGGCATTTGCCTTGCATGCAGCCAACATGGGCAACCCAAGTTCGATTCTTCCGCCCCTCTCGGAGCGAGGCAAAGCCTGGCAAGCTACCTGTGATGTAAACATAATAACAACAAAGTCTCACAATGGAGACATTACTGGGCCCGCTTGAGGAAATTGATGAACAATGGAAGGACAGTGATAGCCTTGTCATAAAGTCTGTCAACTGTGGGTTTGGGTTTTTTTTGTTTTATTTTCTTTTAGTTTGTTTTTGTTTGGAGTGCTTAGTACTTAGTCTTTCTCTGCCCTTAGGGATCATTCCTGGCCATGCCGTGGGTCTGGGTTGATACTGGTTTGGTTATGTGCAAAGCAAGCAGCCTTTGAAAATACAATCTTTGGAACCAGAGAGTTAGTAAAGCAGGTAGGGTAAGGTGCTTTCCTTGCACATGGCCATCCCGGGTCTCTGCACCCCATATGGTGCCACCACCACAGGCCCCTCCTGTGAACACTGCCAGGAGTGATCCCAGAGTGCAGAGCCAGGAGTAAGCCCTGAACCCTGCCAGGTGTGGCCCCAAAACCAGATTGATTACCTTTCCAATCAAATGTATCAAAAATACAACCTATAATATTTGCTCTATGCGTTACTTTGGTTTTGTTTTATGCATTTCTCTTTTCTCTGTGTGTGTTGGGGGGGGAGGGGAAGAACCAGAAATTTAATCTGGGACTTTATAAAGTGCAAGGCAAGTGCTGTACTGCTGAGCTACATCACACTGTGTTTATTCCAACATATTCCAACATATAGAAGGTTCTGAAAACCAAAAATATTTTGAGCTTGAAAAAAATTCCACTGGGTAGCAAAATCTGATCTGAAAGAATGAGAAATTATATGTAGCAGTTATCCCATGAGTTTTGCTAAAGAAATACGAATAGGTTAATGACTGTTGCCTTGGTTCAGGAAGTATTACATGATTTTTTTTTCAATTTGGAAAACCATGTTGCTCCAAAGATTAAACCAGGGCTCCTGCCTACAATTCAGTCCTTTGAGCCATTTTCTCAGGCCTCTAATATACTTTCTAAAACAGCCCCTGGGTTTTAATTAAGGACTATGAAGCTATCTTCGAATCTTTTTATTTTTTATTTTATTTTATTTTTTTCTTTTTGGGTTAAACCTAGCGATGCACAGGGGTTTCTCCTGGCTCTGCACTCAGGGGTCACTCCTGGTGGTGTTCAGGGAACCATATGGGATGCTGGGAATCGAACCCGGGTCGGCTACGTGCAAGGCCAACGCCCTACCTGCTGTGCTATCTCTCCAGTCCCTTTTTTATTTATTTTATTTATTTATTTTTTTTGCTTTTATCTTAGAATCTTTTGATTGCACATTTGTGCTAGACATTTTCCCCTCCTTTGGCTTTTTGGATCACACCTGTGATCCTCAGGGATTACTCCTGGCTCTGTGCTCAGGGCACCATCTGGGATGCCAGGAATTGGACCCTACTCACTGTACTATCACATAAAGACATTTTAGAGACTCAATATAAATCTCTCAGAAGAGACCACAGAACAATACACCGTAGCCATGCCGCCAGACCCCGGGCCAGATTGTTTCATTCGGGGCAACCCAGAATGGGGTGGTAAGGGCCCTCCCCACCCCAAAGAAGCCAGCCCTGGCAGCTGAAAATCTCCAGAACTCAACCACCGCCATGCTTACTGCCACTCTCCACATGCTCAGGCAAGCCTCACCCATGAGTGAATCTATTCCTGAATCACACAGCCATGCAACATCTTATACTTTACATCACCAATATACCCAAAGTATCACACCACATTTGATTGGAAAGGTAATCAATCTTAAGGAGTAATATATGATATATATATATATATATATATATATATAAGCACACAAGACTCAACTTTATACAGCATGTTACTAATCTCTTATAGAACGGCTTAATGGCTCCTGGGTAAAATACAACAATCTTCACACACTTTCCTTGAAGAAACCTTTTTGGTCTCATTTTTAGCAGAGAATTTATGACAAGCAGTACAAAATAAATTAGTTCAGTTCTGCTTGGGGGACAGGGTTTGAGGTTTGGGATGGAAATGTGGTGGGAAGGTATAATGGTGGTAGGATTGGTGTTCAAATATTAAATGTAATCAAATATTGTGAACAACTTTATAAAATAAATTTTTTTTTAAAAAGACTTTTAGGGACCTGAGAATAGTACTGAGGATAAGGTATTTGCCTTGCATGCATATGATCCAGGTTCGATCCCTGTCGCCACATATTGTCCCC